GTAACATCGACGGTTCCTCCTGTTAGTCACACCATTTTTATTATAATAAAATGGTGTGGGATTATAACCATAACATGTACTAGCGAAATGATCTGGTATTGTAAAATAATTTTTTTATATGTTGCACACCGGATCGTGGTTCCTCCTATTATAAATGATATAAAATTAAATTGAATTTATTAGCCAATTGGATAAACTTCTGAACCATCGATGTTACACGACTGATCCATTATTTACAATACCAGTCTGCTAGTACATGGCACTTCTAATTTACGTATGATAAATCATTATGCCATTACAACATTATTTTAACATTATCACTAATCAAAAAAAGGAAAATTTTTTAAATATTTCACTTTCCAAAAATCAATAATAAAATTTTAACACTATAGTCAACTAAATGTAATTGAAAACGCATAGTCAACCTTAATTTTTTTTCTTTTATCCAAATCTGTAGAAGTTCATCTAACATCTGCGTGAATTTCTTAATTATTTGAATTTGAAATATACAAATGGTATGAAGGCAGAACTACAAAAATTTTCTCAGAACAATGACTTGTGTTAAGAGTAGCACACGATCAGAGTTCAGGTAACGTAGTCTTTCAATCGGAAACCACTTAATTATATGATTATAATTTTTGGATTCAAATTGAAACAATTTGTTAATATTTTGTTTCTGCATTACCAGTGTTGGAATTTATGGCTTTCCATTGAGATCTTGCAATAGTAAAAATTCCAGTAACCTTCCGGTGACAACGTTGCGCATGACCATCACGCATTATTAAATTCGGATCACATGTTCGGCACCATACATTATTTGTATTATATTTGTTACAACACGCTCTTTTTCAAAATATTTGCTTCGACCATAAAGATATTTAATATAATTTCGAATTGACAAATAGGATCTCTTGCAGTGTAAGTGACACTTATTCAAAAGAATTGATTAATAATATATGTCATTAATGGAGTTACCTAATTCAACAAGTCAACACAAACAGCAAACTTGAAATTCCGTTGAAATCATCAATTTCAGGTAATGTTTGAATGTTTTGCACTCATCCTCCTCACAATTGTTTCCTCAGTTGTTAACTAAACCTGGCATAGAACGATCCTTACCACCATCTAATTCGGTGGCTTCCCAATCACTGGCACGAAAGAGGTTATTGAAAATGGTTATCAATTCTACATGATATATAAGGTTTTATTAATTAGTGTCAGCACCTATTGTAATTTTTGTTTATATTTTTTTAACAAATAAATAAAATCAACATAAATCAATGTTTAGAAACGAACATAATCGTCTAAAAAAACCTGACAGTTGATGCTCCGCAGATGTTGAACGTATTTGAACGGATGATGTGCGTTTGAACTGTTAGTAAATTGGTTTCATACGGTTTGAACAGAGTACATACAGTATATAAAAAACCCTGAATGACAAACCTGCGGATTTTGAACAAATATACATTTTCTGATCAACAGATCACTCTCTAGAGGTTGCAATCAACGATTAATTGATTTACTGAAGTAGTCATCATGTGCTATAATGAAAACAAAGATTGTGAAAGAATCAAAATAGCTTGACTATTATAATTGACACAAGAAAAATTTCATAGAATTAATTGTTGTATTTACGTGTAGGTACTTGATCTTGTTGAAAAAAAGTCTACTAACAATAAAAGAAATAGTTTAAAAGTATCCAACCCAATTTTGAACCAATTCGATAAAATGGAATAGATGCTTCTAGCGATAAATTAAGAATAGCTAATAAAAATTTTTGTTATGAATTTTTTGGGAACGCACAAGATTTGAAGGAATTACAGTTGATGTAATTCGTTCTAATGAGTAGATATTAATAAAAGTTAAGTTCGTTAAAAGCATTTTTAAAGACAAGTAAAACTGAAAATCTTTATAATTAACCCTATAAATATGAATTTATTTTATAAAAATTTTCATGTGTATGCTTGAAGAACTTTATGATAATTTTTTTGATGTCTCGATGTAAAGAATTACGTGTAAATCAAATAATTTACCTGATATAGGTATTCATCATATCAAAAGATGCGTACATGTTGAACAAAACTGGAGCAGCTATTGAAATTTAAATAGAAAAATCAGGTTATTTGTATACAGACGATATCAATTGTTGAAGTAAAAATAGTACCGTCTAGCGGTAGTACCCAACCTACCCCTTTCGCGATAGGATGTTCCGCGGAGGGTCCCGGTGCTAGCTACACCCCCTCTACCGGCTTTTGAAGTATACCCGGGATGCTACCCCAGGTATCCCAACCAAGTCACCCCTCTTGTAGGGTAGGTTGTTTCCATCAGCATCATTGGGTTTGCCTTACTCTGTTCGGGAGCCCTCAACTTCTGGACTTACAAGAGATAGTAACCGTAAGCTTATATACTACCTATGCTTGCTTATTGAAAAAAATTATGGGATTCACAAAAATAGAATCTGATTGGTTATATAATATCATGTGTTGATCCACGAGATTAAAAATCATGTGTTTAAAAACTATCCGCAACTCAAAATTAATAAAACCACTTCTGTGCATTAACTAAAACCACTTCTGCGCATTAACAAAAGGAATTCTTTGTAAAATTTTGAAATAAAATCTGGTATAAAAAAAGCGTTGGACTTTATTTCTAAAAAATACTGCTATTCATTTCTTATGTTTATTTTTTGATTGATTTGCTTTTTTAATAAAAAGTAAAAAAAAAAAAAACTGCAGAAAAGGAAAAAAATTTGTAAGGAAATAAAGTATCATTTGCAAGCTCATATTGACTTCTTGCAATGAATTTTTTTAAATTATGATGGTTACGCATTTTTAGTGTCAGTCAAAGAAATAAACAAGTATCAACTTAGTATCAAATTAGGATGGCCGGTTTTGTTTAATAGTGATTTTATCACAAGTCAGTACATTTTTTGAGTCACTGGACTTTTTATGTGGTAGGAAATTGGCTAAGTTTTATAGATCTACCCGTGATTTCTCGTGATAATTAACCAATCAGATTATATAATTTAATCGAACAAATTCACAATACAGTCAAAACTTTATACTACATATAGTGATGTAGTTGGTAACTACCGGTAATAATCTACCACTGGTATTTACCGTGAGGTTAATGTTATAAAGTGGTAAATGGATAGCAGTTCATTAAATTTGACTGGTTGATACGGCTTGCACAGTATATATCATATTACTTTAAAAAAAAATAGGCATAAAAATTAGCTAATTAAAAATGAAATCCATTATACTACTGGTAGTGATAGCTACTGTTAGCTATTAGTAACTTCCAGTAGAATAACGATTGTTTAAAAGAACCTTCATCTTAAATACTATTCTTATTAATTATCCTTTTTAATTGCATAATCGAGTAGAAATCATATTTTGATTATTACTACCTTTGTTAAAAAGATGCCACTACTTTTAAAACATATTATTAATTAGGCAATATCCTACTGCTAACCTTATAATTTGATATCATGTCATAGATAGCCATAATGTAACACTGACGTCTCGAATGTTAGTAGCACATGTAATGCTACAAAGCACTATATAGTGCTATATAGCTCTAGAAGTTTTGATTAAGCATTTGTAGAATTATTAGCTTTAAAAATGCTTGATAAATGTTAGATCATGCAAAAATGTACTAATAGAAAAATAGCAGAAAGATTATAATGATTCAAATTGTATTAATAAGCTCAAATATTACTCTTGTAGAAAGTCAGTTAACATCTCAATAACTTAATAATAAAGAAGTAGTTATATTTTCATATACAAACAACTTGAATAATTTATTCAATAAATAATAAATTAACAATTCTCTAAAGTGTAATCATGTTTTTATATATAGATCACTTGAATAACTCATAAATTAGTTATAGTGTCACTATATATAAACAATTTGAAGTATAGACTGAACTTGTTATATTATTATTTGTATCCTTATATACATTTAGCTCTTGTCTTTTTCATAATTGCAAATCATCTCAATCTTAAAAGTGTAACTACCTTAAGCATAAATTAGCATTGTTATTTAATTACTTAACCAACCTATTGTTAAAATAAAATGGTATAAGAGGAAGTTTCAGGTGTAACACTATTTAATAAATTTTTCTAACTGTTTATTTATATAAATTCCTAAATAAATCTTATTTTTCAGTTATTATAGACTATTTTTGGTCTATCAGTCATAAGATATTTCTTCTTATAATAGCTCAAAATGTTATTTATAATAAAAATTCTAATAAAAATATATGAAATTACTATTAACTTTAGCTAAAGAGCCTTTTTAACTTTATCTAAGTAACTTAAAAATAAATTTTGTAATTATATTAAACAAAAAAAAAAAATTAGTTTAAAAACTAATTTAAAATATTGCTAATTTTGTCTATTTTAAAGATATAACTTTTTCAAAAATAACTATTTTTTAATTTTAAAATAATTATATATAAAATTATGTACTAAACAATTTTATTTAGAAGACAAAAATAGATTATCTTAGTATAAAAATAAGTTACCTATATGTTAAAGATAAATATTTTTGTTTATTTATATGAAATTTTTTTTTTATTAAGATAACTTATTTTGACTTCTTAATTAAACTTGTTTAATATAAATTTTATATATATATATTTTTTAAAATATATATATATATAAAATTTGAATGTGGTGACCTAGTAAAATGATTAGGTTGTTAATCTTTCAAATAATAGATTAGGTATTCAAATCATATTAACAGTAAAAAATTTGGATAATTATTTATATAATATTTATATTATAGCAACTGTTACTAACAATTAGATTAGGATACCTGTAATGGCAGTCATACCAGCATGACTGGCAGATTAAGGGGCATCTGTATAACTATTTATATAGAAGAATATAAACTGGCAAATCAAGTAGTGCAAATACTAGATAAATACTTGTGATCATATAAATCTGTTAAAATTGAATAGCAAGAAGTCCATTTAGGAAGACCTAAATAAAGAGATAATTAGATCTTTAATAGTTTTACTGTAAAGGCTAGTCTGGAGAAACAAATACCCAGATTATAGTACTTGGTCATAGTATTTGGTCATAGTATTTGAATAAAAAAAAACTTTCAAGTTGAGAGTTTTGAAGATACCACCAACTAGGTTACTAAAACAAAATAAAGAAAAAGGATATTGAACTGATCTAATATATCAATAGACTGGTCATAGTCTTATATAGACTATCTGAATTGAAAGTCTAAACAAAAGACTAGACAAAAAGCAGATGTATACTAAAATACTGGAATTATAATGTAAAGTAAATGCTAGGGTCTGTGTGAACTCTACAAAGATATAACAATTTAATAATTAATACTGATTACAAGTGTTAGTTCTGGACGCAAATCATTAACTCTTTCCGACGATCACTTGTACCAAACTCTACTGCAAACATTTGATTATTATTCAATATTTTATTAAGTAAACTACTCTTGGACGCC